CGCGGACCACGTGTCAGGGGAGGTAAAATGGCCGCGGACCACGTGTCAGGGGTGGAAAATGGCCACGGACTGTGTCACGGGAGGGAAAATGGCCGCGGACCGTGTCACGGGAGGGAAAATGGCCACGTATCCGTGTCACGGGAGGGGAAATGGCCACGGATCCTGTTCGTACCCCGAGGCGGAGTTCGCAAACCGAGGTAAATTTTTGCGGCCGGAGCTGGTCGTTCGTTAACAGAGGCGTTCATAACCCGAGGTACCACTGTACTGAAAGTAAGAGGAACATGCACATTATTGGTTTAACCACCCAGTGCAGCAGTGAATGCAAGAGTTTTCTTGATGCTATGCTCTAGTAGCTAGACCTTAAATGTTCTGAATGTGCCTCCCTTCAGTTAAGAGAGTGAAAGAGAAATGCAGCCAAAGATTCTTAACCTCAGAATGACCTGTACTGCAATTCTAAAAGAATCCCCCACCCAACACGCTCTGGGACAGAAATCTGGTTCAGAAAGAAGGTCCCATCCGGAATTGTTAGGAGGTGTTTTGCTTCCCGTATCTAACTGGAAAAGGCATCTGAGACAAAAAGAAGGGAAGGATATGTGGATGGAATGTTTGTAAATGAGCAAAGAAATGGGGCAGTAAAAAGGCGTAGTTGCCTATTCTTGGTTCTTTTCCCAATCTTTATCTAATTTCTATTTTGCCACAGTGTACATCAGATGCTCAGCAGCATTATACAATACAATACAATACAATACAATACAATACAATACAATATAATACAATACATGGTACAATCATTAAAAGCTCTATAATAGCAATCCCAGTTGGACTAATGCAATGCATTCCATATGAGGCTGCCCTGAAGTCCACCAGGAAGTTAAAACTGGTTCAGAATGGGGCAGTATATGCAGTGCTGGGTACCCCTAGGTTTACCCAAGTTACACCCTGTTGTGCAAGCTGCACATTCAGGGTGCTGGTTATCATCTTTAAAACTCTATTTGGCATGCAGCAAGGTTATTTGTGAGACCACCTCTCCCTGGGGGTATCTGCCCATCCTACCAGATTGGATAAGATTAAGCATGTTCCAGGTCCCTTCCCTTAAATGCTGCCATTTTGCAGGACTCAAGAAGTGTGCCTTTTCCATCGCAGCCCCTGCCCTGTGGAACACCCTTCCCCTTGAGATCCAATAGCCCCCCACCCTTTAACCTTCCAGAAAGCATTTAAGACCTGGCTTTTCCCCCAGTGAAATCCAGAGTTTCTGCCAGGATGTTAGTATTGAATGTGGGGCTTCTGGTTAAAAATGGCAGTCTAGTAAATACTGGATGAAGCTCAAGCTCAGATATTTTGGTCATGTAATGCGAAGAGAGGACTCCTTGGAAAAGACCCTGATGCTGGGAAAGATTGAAGGCAAAAG